TACGTCACTGCATGTAGTTTTTGCACAGCACACACTATGACCCTGTAAGTGAGTTTTGACTGTATGTGTGTGTCTTGGGATGGCATTCATCTGTGGATAAGGTGACCTTGCCCATGAATTGATCTTGGACTAGTATGACCTCAATCTTAGTGTTTTCCCCAAATAATTGTTAATCTATGTTCCCTGTTACATTTTATCTTATACCCATTTTCGGAGCCTAGTTGACTCGGGGTCTGAAGGGTTCTTCGTAACCTGGTGCCTATGGTCAATTGACTTGGGAGTCACTGGCCCAAAGCTAGTTACAGGGATCATCTTAGTCACTTAATGGAGATGGAATTGCACATAAGATACAAAAGATATCGGTTTAAAAAAAATACTAATAATAATTGAGGCTTAACTTTCGCTCGAGCGTTAAAAGCAGAATCCCTGTCGCTCGCTTAACGCTCGATTCTCACTCGAGCGACAATCCGGTTTAAGTTATCTTACGCTTCTTTCCAACCTCATTTTTTTTTTCCACCACTTCTCTTTTCCTTTCTGTCAAAGTCTTCTAGCCGTAACGCCGGCCCTGTTCATTCACCCTAGGGAGCTCCAATCATCACTCCACTACCAATTCCTTTTTTCGCGAATTTGGGTAAGTTGTTTTCGAGCCCTACTTGTTCCGATTTTGGGGTTTTTTGTGAACTGTTGATTACCCAATCAATTCGTCTATGTTCTTCTCTTTCTTGGACGTCCATGACATGGCCAGTCTGCCCATTGTGCCATTTCACATCTTGTTTGCTTGTTTTGGGCCTTCCCTCGTTGTTAAGGTGTATATGCATTTTGTATGCGTTTCTATTGGTTGTGGTGGTGTTTTTGAAGGAGGTTGTGCTGGATATGGACGCTGGATTCTTGCATTGTACTTTCTTATTGTTGGTGTGGAGCTGGTTTGATTGATTTTTGTTTAGAATGTCATGAATTTCCCCCGCACACCACGTGTTTGATGAAGTGTCTCACTCATGCGTTTGGTCGTTTTTGGATTTGCATCTGCACACACGTCCAGTACCGTCCTTGACAATGTTTCCATCTTCTTGGTACGTTCCGATCTTGGATAGCGTTGAATTTGGATACGGTCTTTTTTCAATCACATTGCATCTTTGCATTAGGACGTTGCATCATTTGTCTTGACAACGCGTCACCCTCCGTCCTGCAATCATGTCCTCTTGTGGCTTGCAATCATGTCACCATGTCTTGCAGTCAAGTCCCATTGCGGCTTGCAGTCATGTCGCCATGTCTTGCAGTTGTGTCGTACTACGTCGTGATGCCGTGTCGCCGTGTCCCCTGTCGTCCGTTGTCTTACCCATGTGTGCATCGTTTTGCGTGCCTTACACATTTTTGCATCGTTTTGCATGCCTTACACATTTTTGCATCATCTTACGTGTTTTACATCTTCGTGCATTACTGCGTCTCATTGGTCGGTTGGTCTATGGGGTCCTCGTCAGTCTTCGCTACATCCTTTGAATTTTTTTGCCTTGCACATTTGTCACAGATGGCACCTAGACGAACACGGACTACTGCTCAATCTTCCGGTGGCTCGACCTCTTACAATCGTTCTAAGTTCATTTCTGCTACCGCACAGGAAGTCTTTCAGTCTCGTTTTTTCTTTACGCCCCGTCCTAGTTAAGCGTGAGGTTATTTTATCTGATCTTTCTCCTAATCTGGCTGCTATTTTCACTTCTCGTGGTTGGGAGCCACTTCTTGTCCGGTTATCTCCTCCGCGTAATCTCCTCGTTCAGGAGTTCTATGCGAATATCCATGATATGAGTGGGTCGACGTTTAGGTCTTTTCTTCGGGGTCAGAATCTTAAGATCACTCCGGATGTGATTTCGCGTGTCATTCGAATTCCTCGAGTTGTCCACCCATTGTTTTCATATCTGTCTCCGACACCCTCCCGGCTGACTCTCTTGTCCGGTCGACGGTGTTCAACAGTCCTTTGGAGGGAGGCTTGATTGCGATCCGTACTGGATCGATCCCTACTGACCGACAGATTTTGATGCACATAGTGTGCACAAATCTGTGGCCGGTCTCACACACATCGTCCCTACCCATGGATAGGGCGAGATTTATTTATGCTCTATTACATGGCGATTCCATTATCCTACCTACATTCATTTGTCACGAGATCTTACGTGCTTTTAGGGTGATAGGTCATAGGATAGGTCTACCGTATGCTTGTTTGATTCATCGCCTGGTGTCTGCCCTTCGGGTTACTTTTCCTGATGGGGTCCGGGGCGGGTTTCCTGGCCGATTGGTCATACTACTATATCTTAGAGTCAATCACATGTTACTTCTTCCTCCGCTCCTAGTGAGCCGGCTGTCCCAATTGATCCGACTGTGCCGGTTGATCCTATTGGTGATTTTTTGTCCGGTGATCCTTCTGATATTCCTGCATCTCATTTCGGTGATCCTACTACTACTATTCCTTCATCCTCTACCTCTGTTCCTGCATTTGCTTCGTTGCCTGTTGATCCTTCTGTTATGCTTATGGGACAGATGTCTGTGCTGCTTGAGCAGCAGGCTCGCATGTTGGCCAAGATCACACAGTTGAGGGCTATCTCAGAGCGACATACTACAGAGTTCGTTTCTCTTCGTCGCGCGATTGCTGTTGTCCAGCGTCGACTTCGTTGGATGCGAGATCATTGGGATTATGAGTGGTGACAATGACTGATGGGACTGATGACGGAGATGATGCTGCTGTTGATGGCGATGCTGCTGCTGCCTAGCGTTTATGAATCCCTTTGTCATTTGTGCCAAAAAGAGGGAATGGTAGAGTAGGGTTAGGGTTAGTGACTGACTATATACCTTGGATGTATTTTAGCTAGATTTATTTTATTTTTTTTTTATGTTTCGCAATATTGATGTATGTTTTTGGTGTATTAGCTTACATTAATATTGCCTCGTAACAGTATTTATTGGTAATTGTCTTAACAGTTTTTATATGTGTTACTGTTTCCGTGCTTTTACACTTGGTATGTAAGTTCTGATTTCAGGAAACAGGTTTGACAAAGGAAAACAAGAGTCAGTTGAGTTAGTTGGTTTTGAGTAGATCGAATCAATTGTCTTTGATATGTAATGTATGTTTTGTCACAGAATGCCAAAGGGGGAGCTTGTTAGTTTTTAAAGTTGTTGGCAATCTGTGAACGAAACATAGTTGTATAGACGTTTTGAAAAGTTAAAGGGTCAAGTTGTAATTTACTTAGACGGGTTAGAAGTCATTGGAGTCGGGTTTGGAACATTGGAAAAGTTGCCGGATTTTCGCTGAATTGTCACCAAGCCGCTGCTCGAGCGTCAGAAACAGTAAACACGTCGCTCGCCTATCGCCTACCTTTCGCTCGAGCGAAATTGTTTCACTCGCTTATCGCTGAGATCTCGCTCGAGCGACAGACCGAACTAAAAATCCCTAGTTTGCAACTTTCGAGATTTTGGAGAGGCCCATACTACCCAAAACACCCACATCTATAAACCATAGCGCCTCCACACGAAAATTCTACGGGATTGAACATTGTGAAACTTCATACTCATCCATTACCTTCTTTCAATCCTACTTTGCTTGAGTGTTACTATTGAAGAAAACATCACACACACATAAATCAATCACCAAAAATAAAACTTCCAAACATCTGTCAAATGGTTGAAGATCGAGGAAGGTGATTGGAGTTCCAATCGGGGGAGAACGAGGAGCTCTCGGGAATCCGCAGGAGATAAATGAACTCCAGAAGCAGGGAATTGGTGTAGGAGCACGCATTCCAGGAGGGCTTTGGAAAATTGCAGTCAGGAGGTCAGAAAGCTCTAGTGTCGGTAGAGTCTGGCTATACTGTAAGTTTAACCGTTTATAGTGGATTCATACTGGCTTGGGCCCGGAGTTTTTAATCCAGCAAGGGGTTTTCTCTGTCAACAAATCTCTCATGTTATTTACTTTCTGCAATTTACTATATTGTGGCAATTAACTGTATGATAGTGTGCTTGTGGTTGTTCTGGATGATTTAATAAATATGACTTGTTGCATTTATTAATTAACTACTTTAAATTCCGC